GTTTAGGGTTTAGGGTTTATTTCGAGAGTCCTTTTTATAAGGGTCTCGCACTTTCTTGGTGACCGGAAAAGGACCGAGAACAACCCATATGACTCCCGAATTTGCAGATAGACCCCATACAGACGGTGAAAGCACAAAACCGGGAGCCCCAAAACCAAATTCGTCGAGTCGGGGCGCTGTCTGAGTCCACCAGAAGGGAAGCCGGGCTTGCCAGCAACGCGTAGCCCGCTTCGGGAACTGACGCCTGGGGCGTGGCTTCAGGGTTTGTTCGTTGACTTCGGCAACAGAGAAGCCTCAACACTCAGAACAGGGGTTCTGCGTAAACCTATAGGAGGACTACATTAAGGAAATCTACAGAGTGGTATATTCTCGGCCCTACATGAGGGGTTAAGGGGAGCACTGATTTGGCTCTCGGGGTGGCTTTAAAGTTTGCGAACCCGTGATTGGGTGGTTCTTGTGCTCGGTATCAGGGTTTATGTTTTCTACTAGTATGTGTGTGTGTGTGTATGTTGTACTTTTTTTTTGGGGCGGGGGGTTCGGTTTAGGGTTTAGGATTTCGAGATATCCTCTGTACTTGGCATGCTCAGTACTCAAATTCTCTGCTGATCGAACATGTAGCTTGGCGCAACGGGGAACGGGAATCAGCAAAACCAGTATCCGAAGTTGTGCGCAGCTCTCCTTCTTGACGGCAGCAAAGCTAGGCTAGGGTTCAACCTGCGAGACAGCCTCCAGACTAGACCAAAAACCGCTTTCAGAAACTGCAAAGCTGAATCCCGCACATCCTACACCCACGGGTTTCTGCTGGACCCGAAGCCATCACGGCCTCCCGTGTCTTGCTCAGAAACCCCCTTGTTTTTCCTTACTGCATGTTCTACAACACCGAAGTCGGTCTACACCTTAGAAACCACCTGAACAAGCCTCAACCCAAAAGCCTAAACCGTAACACCAAACCTCGCAAACCCTAAACACGAAACGCCAAACCCGGATGAAAAATAACACCACGACGCGGACCTCCTTCTGAACCTCCGGCAGCTCGCAAGCAGAATCGTGATTTTGCGAGGCAAGCTCCTCGAAGTAAGCAACGACAGATGAGGTTTCGGGGCTTGGAGTTTTGGGTTCCGTGTGGCTGAAATAAGGTTTAGGGGTGTAGTAGGCTTATGGTATAGGGCTTTAGGGCTTCAGGGCTCCAGGGCTTTCGAGTTTAGGTCCTAGGTGGGGCTGTAGCGCTTTTAGGCCTTGGGCTTTAGCGTTTCAGTGTTTCGGGGTGCTAAGTTCTTTTCGTGGTGTTGACGGTGCTTTAGGGCTTTGAGGGTTTCGGTGCGCTTGAATTTGCTGAGGAGTAGTGCTGTAAGGCCTTAGGCTTGAGAGCCCTAAACCCTATAAAGCGTTTACTCTAAGCCCTATACCCTAAACCC